GCAAATGGAAATATAATATGTCATAATGTTGTTACAGGAGAATTTTATAGCATTGAATGTCTATATTAAAAAAGAAGCAATGACATCAAAGTCCATTTTAAGAAGCTAGGAAAGGAAGAACAAAGTAAACCACAAATAGGAGAGAAAAAAAACAAGATCAGACCAGGAAGCAAAAAAAATAACTGAAACCAAGAGCGAGTTCTAATAATAAAACTGATAAAACTCTAGAGAGATTGATAAAGAAAGAGGAGGGCAGAAAGTAGAGGGAGAGACGGAAGGAGGGAGGGAGGGAAGGTGACATCTGCATCATCTAATTATAGATCTTAAAAGGATATAAGGGAATATTCCAAAACACTTTATGCCAATAAATTCGGTAATTTAGTCAAAATGGACAAATTCCTTGAAAAACTACAATCTACTAAAACTCACAACGAATTTTACAAAACACTTAAAGAATAAATGATAAAAGTATTATACAAAAATGTCAGAAAATTGAAATAATGGGATACTTTAAAAACGCACTCTGTAAAGCCAGAAGTCGCTTTGAAATCAGACAAGAAAATACATTTAGGAACATAACACTAAAGACAAAAATCAAGAATACTGATGTAAAAATCTTTTAAAGAGTAGCAAAGAGACTCCAATTATTTAGAAAGATTGTATTAAGTTACTATCAAGCAGATATTATCTCATAAAAGCAAGATTACTTTATTATTCATAAAGCAATCCATGTAAGTCAACAAATTACTAAAGTACTTTTTAAAAAGAAAGAAAAGCCACACCAGTACTTCAATAAAAGGGAAAGCACTGACAAAATCTAATATTCGTTACTGATAAGATCAAAAAGGGGGGGGAAAGGCTAACACCAACAACTCTTGTCAAATATGAAAAGAAGGAAACTTCCTGAACCAGGTACAGGTCTTTGAAAGGCCGTGGACTGTTGATGAAGGAAGAGCCTCCCCTAAGAGCAGGAGCAAGACAAAGATTTCCAACCTCCCCAGTGCTGGGAAGTGTCACCCAGGAAGACCTAGCCAGCACTAAGAGGCTAGAGAGGAGTAAGGAAGGGACGAGAGAGTTCCAGCTTGGAAAGGAAGGAGGAAAATGTTCATACACAAGTAACACAGTCATCTGTGCGGGACATGCCGTGGATCTACAACAGCACTGCTGGAGAATCAGGAGGTCGGCAAGGCTGCAGAATATCTTCTTCCTGGCAAGAGTCAGCTGCTCTTCCATATGCCAAAAATAGCCATAAACAAGTAAAAATACCAGCTACATAGATCCCCAAACAGGAAACACTGAGGCAGGTTTCTGACAAGACATAGTTATGTACTGACAACCACAAAACATTTGCTGAGGGAGTTTTTAACAAATGAAATACTCATCAGGCAGAATACCAAATATTATTCACATTCCAATTCTCCCCCAAAATTCACCTGTAGATTCAGTTGAAATTCTAACCAGTGTGTGTACAGTGTGTGTATGTGTATATGTTTGTGCATGTGTGTGTTGCATGTGGAAGGGCACATGTGTGGACAGTATGTATTGCATACATGTGTATACATGTGAGTGTATGGGCTGCACACATGTGTGTATAAGTGTGTGTGTTGCACACATGCATGTGTGTTGTATACATGTATATGTGTGCATACAGGAACAGATTAACTATAAAATGGATATGCACCTGCGAAGGACCTATTAGTCAGAACACTTGGAAACAAAATTGAAGAACTAATACATTTGGTGTCAGAACATATAATAAAGCCACAGCCATTCAGACAGCATGGTGCTGCTTAAGAGACAAGCAATAGGTCAGTGACAAGAAAGAGAAGTTTAGGGCTGGGCCACACATGTGTGGGTCACTAATTTCTGACACAAGTAGTTCAGTGGAAAAAAGTATTTTTATCTTTTCAATGAACGGCACTGGGCCTTGGCTCACAACGTATACCATACATAACTGACCCAAAACAACTCATAGACACAACTGTAAAACCTGGAAGTGTAAGGCTCTGGATGAAAACGCAAGCGAGCACCTTTGTGACATGGGTCCAGCCACGAGCGCGCGCCGGCTGAGCGGACGGCAGAGGTTTCCTCAGAACTCAGGCCGTCCCCCAACAGGGAGGACGTGCTCTCGGAGCAGGTATCGGATGAAGGGCTTGTATGTCAAATGTATTTAAAACATAGAAAACACTTCTTGCAATGTAACAAACAACCTCATCTTGAAAACTGGGAAAACATTTTAAATAGACATTTTTGCCAAACAAGGGACACAGGAGCCATAAGCCTGTGGGGGAAAATGTTCAACATTATTAATCATTACAGAAATGAAGCTAGAACCGTCTTGGACAGCCATGGCCACCGGCTTCTAGGGTGGGCGAAGGAGGCCCTGTGGAGTGGCCACGTGGTGAGGCACCCGAGAGGGGACGGGCAGGCAGGGCCACTGTGGAGACAGCGCGTCCCCTTCTAAATGCATCCACGCCCAGGTGCAGCCTGGCCGTTCTGCTACTACTGATCAGCCAGAGGAGGGAGCAGGTGTCCCCACAAAGCCTGCTTACAAACGCGGCCCATGCTGTATTGGCAACAGCTGAAAACCACCGGGGGCCATGAATGGCGGCCGGTCCACACCCCGACCAAGCAGCCCACCGGGCCATCCTCCAAAGTGGTGATGAGCGAAGAAGACAGACAGGACACGGGACACGGTCCACAAAGAAATGTGTTTCTCACCTGACTTACGTAACTGTAACCCCTCTGTACATCACTTTTATAGTAACAATGAAAAACGTTGAAGAGTACCTACTGATTCCATGTACCTGAGTTCTAGAAAGTGCTCTGGGTGATGGGGAGCAAGGAGGACCCAGGAGCAGGGGGAAGTTCGGGTGCGTGTCGGACGTGCTATCTTAAGGGTGGTAACACTCACCGCGATGTACCATTCTGTATGTCAGTTTTACCCCAATAACAAAAAGGGTGGATTAAGGACATCCTTGTCCATACCCCTCCTGAAGAGTGGGGACCATTGAGGACTTTAAACGCTGCAACAAAGACCCTGCTGACACCTGTTCACAGGCCTCTCCCTGGCTTCCTTACCAATGAGGAGGTCCTTGTGGGGCACCACAGGAGGCAAACCCCGCTTCCCACATCTCTCCTCCCTTGAGATCTCTTCCTCCCTTCTGCTCACTGCTCTAGAACCTTCCTTTCTGCCTTGGGAGCAAACCCAGCACTGTCCAGTCTACACCACTGTTCCCTCAGCTCTGAATTCTCTCGGCTGCCTCCTTGGAATGCCTCCACTCCACATCACTCCCAGAGTCACGCACGTGACGTTCTGTGTGGCCTTGGCTGTCTGATGCAGCTCTCGGGCCTAGGACTGGAATGTGTTCTGATGCACGTGTGTGTGCTTTCGGTGTGTATTCTTTGCTGTGGTGGTTGTTCCATTCACCACGGGAGAGGAGAGAACAAGTGTTCCCTGATCATGGCCGATCCATGGGGCTCAGCATAGTGCCAGACATGCAGTAGGGCCTGGTGAAGGAATGTCGAGAGGCCTCCAGGTGTGTAACCTGCGGCACTCTCCTCACACACCTGCCACTGCACTCAGCGCTCTCCACATAGCCTGTTAGCTGTTCACAACCATCCAAAACACCTCTCGATAGACTGCACTGCATGATACCACATACACCTGTTAACAGCACAGTGTTCAAGAAACACCCACTACTGTACACTATCACAATCCTGTGCATTTACAGCTGTGCGGTGCATAAGAAAGGCTCAGTAAACACTCATCCATTGCATAGAAAAACATTGAGAGACCTGAGTAAATACCCATTACCCTACTGTTCTTCTGGGCTCATCTCTGGAAAGCCTCATCTTCAAAGATAAGCCTTGCCCAGAGCCCTTCCGCTTTAATGACCACCAGCCTCCCGCGGCATGCTGGGACCTGAGGCCACGCTCTGTCCACACTGGGCGAGCAGCACCTCAGCGCTTCGTGCAAGGCCCCGAAGAGTGGCGCCCGGGGCTGCAGCTCCTCCCCAGCCAGTGGCCAGCGGAGAACGCCAGTCCACGCACAGTCGGTGGCCAGCGGAGAACGCCAGCCACGCACAGTCGGTGGCCAGCGGAGAAACCAGTCCACACACAGCCCTGTGGCCAGCGGAGAAACCAGTCCACACACAGCCCCGTGGTCAGTGGAGAAACCAGTCCACACACAGCCCCGTGGTCAGTGGAGAAACCAGTCCACACACAGCCCCGTGGTCAGCGGAGAACGCCAGTCCACACACAGCCCCATGGTCAGTGGAGAAACCAGTCCACACACAGCCCCGTGGCCAGCGGAGAAACCAGTCCACGTCCACACACAGCCCCATGGTCAGTGGAGAAACCAGTCCACACACAGCCCCGTGGCCAGCGGAGAAACCAGTCCACACACAGCCCCGTGGCCAGCGGAGAAACCAGTCCACGCACGGTCTGTGGCCAGCGGAGAAACCAGTCCACACACAGCTCCGTGGCCAGCGGAGAACGCCAGTCCACGCACGGTCTGTGGCCAGTGGAGAACGCCAGTCCACACACAGCTCCATGGCCAGCGGAGAAACCAGTCCACACACAGCTCCATGGCCAGCGGAGAAACCAGTCCACACACAGCCCCGTGGCCAGCGGAGAAACCAGTCCACGCACGGTCTGTGGCCAGCGGAGAAACCAGTCCACACACAGCTCCATGGCCAGCGGAGAAACCAGTCCACACACAGCCCCGTGGTCAGCGGAGAAACCAGTCCACACACAGCCCCGTGGTCAGCGGAGAAACCAGTCCACACACAGCTCCATGGCCAGCGGAGAACGCCAGTCCACGCACGGTCTGTAGCCAGCGAAGAAACCAGTCCACACACAGCTCCGTGGCCAGTGAAGAAACCAGTCCACACACAGCTCCATGGCCAGCGGAGAACGCCAGCCACGCACGGTCTGTGCCCCTGCCCCCTTGGGTGGCACCTGTGGCCGTGGACCCTCCCCACCATCTGCTTCCTCACCGGAGATGATGGAGTCGTTCAGCACCTCTTCATCCTGGTACAGGAGCAAGTCGTCCTTGAGCTCAGAGTTCAAAAGCAAGTTCTCCTTGTTCTCCTCCGACTCCTTGGCGCCCTCACAGCTCCACGCCTCCTCCCTCTCCTTGCCCCGCTCCATGCTGGACGCTCTCGACAGGCGGACTTCCACCCGCTTCTTCGGAGACCCCTTGCTCTCCCGCCCCTGGAAACTAAACCAGACAGACCGTGCGGGTGGCATTCACACCACCTGCATTGACTAGGGCCTAATAAGGGGTGTGGCTACGGTGGTGCCTGGCTTCTGGGATTTGATTTCAGGTCCTGAGCAGAGCGAAAGACCCCAGAAAGACCGCAAGGCTGTGAGCCCAGGACGCACGTCTGTGCAGACTGCCGTGTGGTGGAGAGCACAGAACATGCATGTGGGGAACGGGGCCGCAGGTGGTCCAGCAGGGTGCAATGGGCCCATTCGGGAGCGGGGAAGCGTGTCTGCCTGTTCTGTACTTTGCCCGACCACACCTGGGCTCTGTGCCGGCTGCCTCCAATAACCCTGCTTCCTTTCCCGAGCTAGAAGTGATCGCGCCGGCCTCCTTCCACCCGGCACCCAGCCCTTGGCGCCCCCGGAGCCGTGGGGGAAGAGCGGCCTTCGCCCCCTGGCTTTGGGGTGCTGCACACATCTTGGGCCCTCATCCTCTTGGGACATGGGGACCAAGTGACAATGCAGGTGGCTTGTGCAGAAATTATTAAGAGCTTCTAGTTGAGGGGGGAACCACAGAAGACTGTGGAACTGGCCCGGCATCCGGGGTGGGCACGCAGGCACAGTCCTGGGGGGTGGCGCCGGGGCTCCTGTGGGGGCCGAGCCTCACCTGTCCTGCCGGTGCTTCGTGGCCAGCGCCCGGTGCAGCTCCTCGATGATGCGGCTGGGGGGCAGCGGCCGGTGGACGGTGGTGAGGTGTGGGGACCCCGTGGGGGTGGAGAGCTGCCCCCGGAGGGGTGGCTCGGTGCTCTTCAAGCTGGAGCCTTGGAAGAGTGCAGCCTGGCCTGGGTGCGGGGGGGGGGGGGGAGAGAGGGCGTGCGTCACGTGTCACGCTTTGTGCATTATGCATCATGCTTCCTGTGTCCTGCGGGGACCGAGGCCTTGAGGCGGGGCAGGAACCAACAAGCAAAGAACAGAACGCCCACGCCACACCCACGGCCAGGCGCCGACACACGTGGAGATGCAGGGCTGGCCAGGCTCCTGGGAGCAGCAGTCAGGACAGCCCTGTCCCCTCCCTCCATTGGCAGGGGAGGGGGGGTGGCGGGGGGGGGAGCTCTGTCCCTGTTCTGTCTGTGAGGAGGGACTGTGCTTTGTGTGGGATGCAGAAGTATTTGCTGAGTTTCACAGCCAGCCGCCCCCCACACTGCCACCAGCACCCCGCCCTCCCCACTTCATTTCTTTGGGCTTCCCCTCCCGCCCCCTCCCCCGGGGGCAGGGTGTGAGGTGGCACCAGGCAAGATGTGCTAGGCGATCAGGAATCTCTGCCGCGTGGTGCCCTGGCCTGGGGTTTCCCCGAGGGGACGTCCCCTGCTCCTGACAGGACCACGGCAGCACCCCCTCCCGCACCAGCACCCTCCGCCCCTCACCTAGGAGGAAGCGCACTCCCTCCACAGGGTCACGACGCCCAGAGAAACAAACCATCACCAGGGGACGTCCCGGGAGCGCCCCTGGCTGCACGCTGGACACGCGGTCCTGCCCCCCATTCCCTTTTCTAAGAAGAGGAGACAGGCTCAGAGTGGGCTGAGGGTTGTGCGGTTGGCGGAGGCCGCAGGGGGAGCCTTCCACCGAGAGAGGGTGCCCTCCTGTCCCCAGGGCCCAGCGGCTGACACACGGGGCGTCTGGGCCCTGTGGGGTCCTGAGGAAGGGAGGGGCAGGATGGCAGGGATGGGGAAGCTCCCGCTGGACCCCCCTTGTCTAACGTGACGAGAAATCGGCCCTTAAACCATGACGTGGGCCACTTCCGGGCAGCAGGCCTGTGGGCACTGCCTGGATCTGGGACTTGCAACCTCCTGAGCGGAGACTGTGAGCCTCCTGTTGCTCTGTCATAGCAGCTTGAACGGACCAGGACACCTATAGCCTCCGCAGCCCTTTCCCAGGTGAGGGAGGGGAAACCCGGGTAGGAGGTTTTCTACTTCTCTGCTGCCATCTAGCGGTCACATGCAGAAGCAACTCTTCACAGAATGGCAGAGCTAGAAAAGGAAGGCGAAGCCCCCAGCCTGTAGCCCCTCAGTGGGGAATCCTGGCGCTACAACCCCCCCTTTAATCCCCTATCAGTTAACCACATAGGGGGGCCATGCCCTGACCCCTGAGCCCCTCCCTCTGAGAGCAGGCTGGAGGAGGAGTAGAAACCCAGCGTGCACTTACCTGTGACACTTTTTGTGAGTTTGCAGCTTCCCTTGGGCAGTGGGGTGGGCAGCAGTGGGGGGCTGGGGAGCGGTCCCGAGGATCTTTCCAGGGGTCTGAGGGGACAGTCCTGGGAGTCCGCGCCCGCTAAGGCTTGGGAGAGCTGGTCAGCAGTGGGCAGGAGGCTGCCAGGCTCAGTCTCCTCCTCACTGGACGCAGATGGCATCTTGGCTGGTCCAAAAGCAAAACAGGGCATTCAAAAACGTTCCCGTGACCTCGGGAGTGAGGGGCGAGACCGGAGGCTGGTGACGGCGGGACGGCTGCTAGGGATGGCTGCGGACAGCTGGCCATGGCTGTGTCCCGTGGTGGTGGGAATTAGGGGAAAGGATGATTGTCCACACACAGTCCGTGCCGCCCGGAGAGCAGCGGCCACCACAGCAGGCTTAAGTTGCCTCTGCACTTTCTCTGTGACCTTGTTTAAATGACCAAACCTCTCTGTGCCGCCATTTCCTGTGACCATGTGCTAGTGACCCTGGCTTGCTGGCCGCCAGTGAGGAGGTGAGGCAGGAGATGGGACTTCCAGGGGCTCAGCTACCCAGAGCTCCGGGCCCCTCTCTCCAGCCCAGCCCGGGCCCCTCTCTCCACTGCATGCTCAGCCTCTCCATCTCCTTGAGCACTGGCTGCTTTGTCTGCTCTCTCCTGTCACTCTGTTCTCTACCCAGCCAGGCCCCACCATTGCCCAGTCCCTGGCCCAGCTTCCTTTGCAAGGACCTGGAGAAAGGGTAAAGCCACCACCACGTTTTTTACCCCTTAAGTTCTGCAGGGAACCAACAGGGACAATGGGACAAGGTGGACGAACTTTGGGACTGTCCCCCCTAAGGTCCCTTCCTGCAGGGTGCCGCTTCCACTCCCCGCTTCAGGAGCACTCTCCACCCTTCTGGCCACATACCTCACCTGCAGGAGAAACTGAGGTTCTCTGCGGGTCATAAACCGGCTGAGCCTCCCTGTGAAGGGTGTCTCTCTAGAGACTGCCCCTCACACTCCAGCCTCAGTGTCCCCTTCTAGTGTCCTCTTAGTGTCCCTGGGGAGGGGGCCACAGGAGGCAGGGTCAGGCACACACAGTGCCTGGGGAGGAAGAAGCCAGCTCCCTCCCCTGGCTCTGCAGGGCTGGGCCTCAGGTGGGCAGTCAGCCTGGCTCCTGGGAGCAGCGCTTGCACTGCGCTGTCCACGGTGCTGAAAGTTCAGGGACGCCAGGCTGGGCTGCTGCTGCCTCTGCCCTCAGAGCACCCAGCAAAAAGTAAGCTGCAGATGCCGGCCGGCCCAGGCGTCCCACGGGCTCTCTCCTCCACGTTAGAGTTCCAAGCACTCTGCCAAGCCCTTTGCTACATCAAACTCACGCCCAAGAGACTGCTGACTCCCAGTGAAGAAACTCTGAGAAGTGCACGGACACAGCTCTGGGTCCCCCAGACAGTGAGCAATGGTTCTTCTAGAACCCTCTACAGACACCCACATATCTACTATCCTAACGGAAATGTATGAGACACGCTACTATTCTCAAGGCCACAGAGGGCGCTTGCACCCACAGCCTGCTTTGATGGATTGAGCTCACACGCTTCTTGCTTCTGTGCGAATGGGTCTGGGACTTCCTGCCTGGTTGCTTCCAAGTGGGAGGGTCATGTGGCTTCGCACCCCAATAGCTGCTGGGTAGACGAGCCTTGTCCTCAGGGAGACCTGGCACCACCCAGCACACTCCCCAAGCTGTGGGGATGGATTCGCAGGAATGGCCAGCCTGCGGCGCCTGCCCTCCTCTGCCTCCTGCCCGCTCCCAGGCAAGTGGCTTTGCCCTCCGCCTCTCTGGGCCTGCCAAACTGCCCACCCCCACCCCACAGAAGGACCCTGGTGTGCCCGGCCCTGGGGGGAGGGGAGAGCGGGGTGGCACGTCTCCTCGACCATGCCGTCCGGAGCGCGGGTCCTCTCCACGAGCTCCATCCCAGCAGCCTGGCCTCCAACCACCAGATGCCAATCACCCCCGGGCGTGACAGCCCAGCGTCTTCACGGAGCCTCCTGCATGGACCAAGAGCCCAGGCTGAGAACCACGCTGGTTTTGGTTTGGGGGCTGCTGGTTTTGTTTAGATGCGGTCTTACGATGAAGTTCAGGCTGGCCTCAAACTTGCGATCCTGCTGCTACCACTGGAGTACTGGGATTACAAGTGTGTGCTTAAGAAATACACCTCAGGGCTGGGAAGGCGGCTCAGTGGTAGGGCGCTTGCCTTGCATGCCTGAGGCCCTGGGTTCGATTCCTCAGCACCACATAAGCAAAAAGAAAAAAAGCCAGAAGTGGCGCTGTGGCTCAAGTGGTAGAGCGCTAGCCTTGAGCTGAAGAGCTGAGGGACAGCGCCCAGGCCCAGAGTTCAGGCCCCACAACTGGACCCCCCCCCAAAAAAGAAATACACCTCAAATGGAGCGATTGTCATTGAGAAAAGCCAGAAGCAAGCGCCACAGCCTGGCCTGCTCTTGGGGCACCAGTCTGGGCCCTGAATGATGGGAATGAACAGGCCACCTTTGCCCTCTGAGCCCCGGGCTCCCACAGAGACCGTACAGACAGACTCTGAACTGGGCTCCCGGGGTCTGGGTCAGCCACTGTGCCCAGCTGGGCCAGAAGGCCAGGTAGGGCTTTCCTAGACCAGCCCCAGGTGGGCTCTTCCATGCTGGGAGGCGCGGCACGTGCTCATCCCGTTTGGCCTGGCTCATCAACTCCTCCATTTCTGCTGGATCCCATCCCCCCATCCCAAAATCAATCCATAACTCCTTGCTCCTCTGAGAATGAAGTTCCCCAAAGAGGATCACCGGGGGTGAGCCCGTGGAGGCCCTCCCACAAGGCCCTGACCCTCACAGCCCAGCCTCAGACCTGCTCCCCAGCCCTCTCCCCGGGCCAGCCACACTGCCTCCCCCGGGCCCCAGCTCCTGTGCCAGCCCAACACAAATGCCCAGCAGTCAGGCCTCAGGCGCTGCTCCTCCTCAGCCACCGCCCTCCCTGGTCAGTCCTGGACTGGTCCTTGGGCTTCCAAATCCGGCCCAGCTCTGTGGAGCCTCGGCCCCTCCTGAGCTCTGGGCTCCTCTCACCACCACGACCTCCACTCCTGGAGGTCCAACAGGCAGGAGGAGCCACACCCAGAGCCACAGCAAGCTCTCCACCACTGTCCGAGGGCCATTCCTGGGAGCCAAGTACTCTTCCAACAGCTGCAGTCACGGCTCAGCACAAAGTCAATCCTCCCTCCCTCAGCCCAGCTCTGCAGAGCCCCCGCTCGCCCACCCGCCCGCCAGCCAGACCCCATGTCCACACCAGTCTTCTTTCTTCTCTGCCCTGTGCCTCGTCCCTAGTTCATGGACTCCTGTCAGCTTCACCTAGAAGCTGCTTCTTGCACACCTTGATTGCTGACCTTGGTGATGGCCTCCCTCTCAGCCTCCACCCTCCTCCCACCCTAGCCTCCTCTCATTCTCACCCTCCTCCCATCCTCGTCTCCCTCCAGCCCCGAGTCAATTCGCTAGTCCAGAGCTCGGCTGCCCAGGGCGCTGTGGCAATGGTCTCAGTGTGGATTGTATGCTCTTTGTTGGGATGGAAAACTCTAAACGCCTGGCCTGTCCAGATGGAAAAATCCCTCCTGACTCAGCACCAATGTGGACCAGAGGCCACCTCTCTCCTGGCCTCAGTGCTGCCCCATAGGACAGTCTCCTCCCTGTCCACACAGTAGCCACTGACCGCATGTGACCACTGAGGGAACCGAACCTTTAATTCTGTTGTGTTCTCATGAACAAAGCAGCTGCCCGGTTTGGGGCCCACGCCGGAGCGTCGGGAGCCAGTTGAGAGTCCCAGTGCCACCTCTCTAGGGGGGTGGGGGGGTCAGGGGGAGGGGAGGGGGGAGGGCCTGGGCACAGAGCGGTGGGTACCACTGCACTCTCCACCTCATAACCACAGCTGCTGGAGCAGCGCGGGAGGGCTGCATGGACACAGGCAGTGGGCAGGACCGACCGGGCGGCTGCAGGACTCTTGACCTAGGCTGGAGAATTCGTTCCAGAGCAAGACAAAGGCTTACCTCCAGCTGGCTCCCGGGCAGCACTAACCCAAGTTCTGCCACTTGTACGCTCGGTGACGTGGGAAAGTGGCTTAACCTTTCCGGGCCAGTTTTAACTCTTGGGGCAGCTACAGGAGAATGCGCTGCGTGTTGAGTGTGCGCAGCACAAGCACACACCACTCTTATTTTTAATTATCGCACTCAGGGATGCCCATGAGGCCGGGCCTCACTGGCCCAGATTCTGTCCCAACAAACTTAAAATGACCCTGGTCCACCCCGCATCTCAGGGAACACAGCTCCATCTGAAGGAAACCAGGAACTACAATCAGCAGACCCAAGAGAAAAGGGGAGCAGCAAACCCAGCCTTCCGGCAGGGGTCGCACTGTGTGGCCGTCCCATGGATGGTGACCCGGCCCCAAGCCGAGACCCAGACGCCACCAATGGCGGTCCTGGTGCGGCTCAGCGGCTCAGCGGCTCCAGCCAGTACCTTTATCGTCCAGATGGGCGTCTGGGGGCAGCAGCTCCTCCGGGGAGGCGTGGTCCGTCCCCGAAAGCTGGGGGCTTCCAGGCTGGGCATCTTCTGAGGCTGGCGCCGCCTGCGGGGCGGTGGACGGTTCACTCTGCGTGGGTCCGGAGCCCCCATCGGAGCCACACTGCTTACTCTCTGCGTCTGTGAAGAGATCGAGCCTCAGCCGGCAGCGTCCTTCCCAGCCCTTCCACCGCGCTCAGGGCCAGGTGAGGTACCACACACGCGTGTGCTCACATGCCTCCGGGAGTCATCTCCACGTGTGTCCCAGGTGAGTGTGGACACTACACCCACAGCTGCCAGGCCCTGAGATGTTCTTACTATAACAGCAGTGGGGTGTTCTCACTGTAACCGAGGGGGTGTTCTCACTGTAACGGCAGTGTGGTGTTCTCACTGTAACGGCAGTGGGGTGTTCTCACTGTAACGGCAGTGGGGTGTTCTCACTGTAACCGAGGGGGTGTTCTCACTGTAACAGCAGTGTGGTTGGTGTTCTCACTGTAACAGCAGTGGGGTGTTCTCACTGTAACCGAGGGGGTGTTCTCACTGTAACGGCAGTGGGGTGTTCTCACTGTAACAGCAGTGGGGTGTTCTCACTGTAACGGCAGTGGGGTGTCCTCACTGTAACCGAGGGGATGTTCTCATTAACAGCAGTGTGGTTGGTGTTCTCACTGTAACAGCAGTGGGGTGTTCTCACTGTAACCGAGGGGGTGTTCTCACTGTAACGGCAGTGGGGTGTTCTCACTGTAACCGAGGGGGTGTTCTCACTGTAACAGCAGTGTGGTGTTCTCACTGTAACCAGCAGTGGGGTGTCCTCACTGTAACCAAGGGGGTGTTCTCACTGTAACGGCAGTGGGGTGTTCTCACTGTAACCGGCAGTGGGTGTTCTCACTGTAACCGAGGGGGTGTTCTCACTGTAACAGCAGTGGGGTGTTCTCACTGTAACCGAGGGGGTGTTCTCACTATAACAGCAGTGTGGTGTTCTCACTGTAACCAGCAGTGGGGTGTCCTCACTGTAACCGAGGGGGTGTTCTCACTATAACAGCAGTGTGGTGTTCTCACTGTAACTGCAGTGGGGTGTTCTCACTGTAACCGAGGGGGTGTTCTCACTGTAATGGCAGTGGGGTGTTCTCACTGTAACGGCAGTGGGGTGTTCTCACTGTAACCACAGTGGGGTGTCCTCACTGTAATGGCAGTGTGGTGTTCTCACTGTGACGGCAGTGGGGTGTCCTCACTGTAACCGAGGGGGTGTTCTCACTGTAATGGCAGTGTGGTGTTCTCACTGTAACTGCAGTGGGGTGTTCTCACTGTAACCGAGGGGGTGTTCTCACTGTAATGGGAGTGGGGTGTTCTCACTGTAACGGCAGTGGGGTGTCCTCACTGTAACGGCAGTGGGGTGTTCTCACTGTAACGGCAGTGGGGTGTCCTCACTGTAACGGCAGTGGGGTGTTCTCACTGTAACCGAGGGGGTGTTCTCACTGTAACAGCAGTGTGGTTGGTGTTCTCACTGTAACAGCAGTGGGGTGTTCTCACTGTAACGGCAGTGGGGTGTCCTCACTGTAACGGCAGTGGGGTGTTCTCACTGTAACCGAGGGGGTGTTCTCACTGTAACAGCAGTGTGGTTGGTGTTCTCACTGTAACAGCAGTGGGGTGTTCTCACTGTAACCGAGGGGGTGTTCTCACTGTAACGGCAGGGGGTGTTCTCACTGTAACCGAGGGGGTGTTTTCACTGAAACGGCAGTGGGGTGTTCTCACTGTAATGGCAGTGGGGTGTCCTCACTGTAACCACAGTGGGGTGTTCTTACTGTAACCGCAATGGGGTGTTCTCACTATAACCGCAATAGGGTGTTCTCACTGTAACGGCAATGGGGTGTTCTCACTATAACGGCAGTGGGTGTTCTCACTGAAACCGAGGGGGTGTTCTCACTGTAACGGCAGTGGGGTGTCCTCACTGTAACGGCAGTGGGGTGTTCTCACTGTAACCGAGGGGGTGTTCTCACTGGTTCTCACTGTAACCGAGGGGGTGTTTTCACTGAAACGGCAGTGTGGTGTTCTCACTGTAACGGCAGTGGGGTGTCCTCACTGTAACGGCAGTGGGGTGTTCTCACTGTAACCGAGGGGGTGTTCTCACTGTAACGGCAGTGGGGACCCTGAGGGTGTCTCCATTGCAGCCACCCCTTCGCCGTGCTGCCACATCCTCTGCTGCACTCTTGTGGTTGGTCCCCTGGCTGGCCTGCCCTCCGCCACGTGGCTGAGGATGCTGCCCAGAGTGCTCCCCACCCCTGGACCACAGGCTGGGGTGGCTGCTGGGGAACGTTGAGTGTGTGAAGCAGAGCTGGGGCTGCTCCTGGCCGTGGGCTCGGGCCCTGGCCGCCGCGGGCCCCTGCCCTGGCTGGGCCGGCCATGCGGTCACAGGGCTGCACCCTCCACCGGACCCTCGGCACCCAAAGCTCACAGCCCCCACGAACCAGCCCCCAAGCAGCCCTGGCAAAGCCGGGGATAGGAAGACTCCCGTCGCTCACATGGAGGAGGCCATGAGGACCACACCTCCTTGGGCATCTCCAGCCCAGAATGGGGCTAGGACAGGCCACGAGCAGCCAGCCCCTGGTCAGCTCTCTGTGGAAGGTTCTAAGGCCAGCAGGACTTAAGGAAGGGCCAGGCACTTCCCTCTGCCTGGGGCTGGGTTGCTGCAGGCTCCCAGGGTCTGTGCCTTGATGGAGATCCAAGGGGCTCTGTCTCAAGGAAGGCTCGGCCCCCAGGAACAGGATGGCAGGATGGCGACTCCAGTTCCGGGCAGCTTCTGAGATGTCCGTCTGCCTAGAGCATGGAGCAGCCACGTGTCCCCTGCACGAGCCCTGGAGCTCCGGTCCCTGGAGACTGACGTCAAAGCACAGCACGGCAGCCTGCCCTGCACAGTGCGCATGGTCCTGGGGCGCGTGCCAGGCTCAGGCCTTACCTGTGCCACTCTTCATCCCCACAGGAGGGTGAGGCGGAGGAGAAGTGGGGAGAGAGGAGGAGGAGGGGGAGGGGAGAGAGGAGGGGGCGGGGAGAGGCAAGAGGGAGAGGGGGAAGACAGGGATGGAGAGGAGTGGGGGGAGGAGAGCAAAAGGGAAGGAAGGAGGGGAAGGAGGAAGAGTAGGAGGGGGAGGAGGAGGGGGATTAATTCAAGGTCAGCACTGCTCTTTGCCAAAACTAGTCCGGACTGTGGCCTGCTGCCCTGGGACCTCCTGGCTGTGCCTGCCACTCCCCGAAGCATCTTGCTCAAACCAGCACATGGCCGCACCCCAGGCGCCCCACCCTCTGCCAAAGGGGTTTCTCATGCCCTGAACAACGCCAGGCTGAAGTTTCCTCGTGGATCAGGCGGGGAGAAGGCTAGCCCAGCCCCATGGCATCCGTCTGGCATAGCCTACACTCCCCACACACGGGGTGGACTTGCTGGGGGGGGGGGTCTGGTGAGGAAGAGGAGGCCATGAGCACTAGGCCACCCGCCGCATGTCTCAGCAGGCTCAGGACAGAGCAGAGCTTCGGAGGCCCATGACTCTCACCAGGCCCACCTCCTCCCCAGGACCTCAAGGGATGTGAGCTTGTCACCTCTGCTCACCATCTTCCCCTCCCACGGTCCTGCATCTCCTCCGGGGCCAGTGACAAGTCAGCCAGTGGGTCAGAGGCCTCTGGCTGCCACGTGGCCAGCCCAGAGGCCTTGGCAAGGAGTGCTAGTGGCTTTTCCCATGAAGGGGTAGTGACAAGTGTTCTGGATGCAGAGGACTCTCCTCATATCAGTTTATCTTTTTACAAATAAAAACTGAAAGCTCAGCCAGGCGCTGGTGGCTCACACCTGTCATCCCAGCTACTTGGGGGACTGCGATCTGAGGATCGTGGCTCAAAGCCAGACCAGGTAGGAGAGTCAATGAGTCTCTTATTCTCTAATGAACCACCACAAAGCTGGAAGTGGAGCTGTGGCACAAGTGGCAGAGCACTAGGCTTGAGCACAAACGCTCAAGGGCAGTGCCCAGGCCCTGAGTTCAACCCAGGACAGGCACAACAAAACAAAATAAACCCTACAAGCTTTAAGAGGACTTCTTGGGTCAGAGGTCAAAGGCAATGGGTCCTGGGCCACAGTGGACCCCTGGCTGAGATCACCTCAGATGTGGGGGCTCACTGAAGGGCAAGGTCAGAGGTTACCCGGCACCAAAAGCACATCTCAGCCCTTGATGGTGTTCCTCTTGCCCCTGCCAGCTTTCCTTACCCAAAAGAAAGCAGAGCACCATTACCCTAGACTCAGTGCTCCATGCTGTGCTCGGTGACCTGGGAATTACGGGGCTCCAATGGGCATTGTACAATGCCAATCACATGTGTTGAGGCTGTGTACATATGTGTATGTGTGCTCACAGCACAGGTTACACACATGCTTCCATGTGCTCACGCACACGTCTGTGGCTGCTTGGTGAACTACTGAGAAGAGGTCCCACAGAAAAGGCACCTGGGGCCGTACTGCCAGGGTGTGTGTGTTCTACGCACAAAGGGAGCGTGCGGCCAGGCGCTGCCCGCTGCCCTGCTGCTCCTCAGAAGGAGCCGCGCACGCGCTCACACCCCATCCCCACTCCCGCCATTGCCGGAAGGACACACACCCCATCCCCACTCCCGCCATGGCCGGAAGGACACACACCCCATCCCAACTCCCGCCATTGCCAGAAGGACGCAGAAGGTCAGCCATGGTCAGCTGCAGCCGGGCTTGTCGGTGTGCACCTGCAGGCCTAGAACTCCTCCCTCCATCTCCCTGGCCTGTCTGCAGCTCCGGCCCAGAATCATGCTCACTGAGTGGCTACAGTCCCAAAATAGGCTGTTGCTGAGAAACGGGGTGGGACCCAGAGGTGGGGCGGGGTGGAGAGGTGGGGAGGGATGGGAGAGGTGGGAGGGATGGGAGGGTAGGGGAAAAAC